AACTAATAGAAACTTTCTGTTATGCCAAGGCTAGTTGAGGGTATTGCATGAGATTAGTATGTGGAAAGAACCCTGCATTTAGCAGTCTGTTCCAACCGTCTTTGTCAGGTCAGCTGACAAATGAGTGTCTTCACCACGCCATCACACATCGGTCACTGCTCTAGCCTCATCTTCCTCAGCCTCCAACAGCATCTGCCACAATTGCGATCCCTCTCTTGTCAGCAAGATGCCCTCCTCTCTGGATATTAAAAATTATTTCCCAGGGCTTCCCTGGTGGCGCAGTGGTTGAGAGTCTGCCTGCCGATGCAGGGGACGCGGGTTCGTGCCGCGGTCCGGGAAGATGCCACATGCCACTGAGCGGCTGGACCCGTGAGCCATGGGCGCTGGGCCTGCGCCTCCAGAGCCTGTGCTCCACAACGGGAGAGGCCACAACAGTGAGAGGCCCGCGTACCGCACAAAAAAAAAAAAAAAAAAAAAATTCCCTATGTAACTGCAATACTGTTAACACACAGTATTGAAGAAATTAAATTCCTGCACAATAATATTACCTAATAAATACTTGTTATTCAGTTTTCCCCAGTTGTGTCTCTCATATAATATCATGTCTTTTAACATCTTTTTGAGGTATAATTGACATACAGTAATTCACACACACACATACATACACACCATGAAGACATCACCAAAATCAAAATGTCTATCACCTCAGAAAGTTTCTTAACGTTTCTTCGTAATTATTGCTTCCTATCGTTCCTTGCCCTTTCCAATCGCCATGCAACGATTGATCTGCTTTCTGTTTGCATTTTCTAGAATTTTATGTAAATGAAATCATGCAGTGTATACTTTTTTCTAACTGGCTTCTAAGCTCAGCATGATTATTTTAATCTTCATCCATATTGTTGTATATATCAGTAATTCATTTCTGTTTATTGCTGAATAGTATTCCATTATACGGATGTACCTCAATTAATCTATTCACCATTGATGGACATGTGAGTTGTTTCAGTCTTTGTCTATTACAGATAAAGTTGCTATGAATATTTGTGTACAAGTCTTTGTATGGATGTATACTTCCATTTCTCTTGGGTAAATACCTGCAAGTAGAATGGCTGGATCACTGGTAAGTGTATGTTTAAGTTTTTAAAAAATACCTATTTTCCATAGTGGTTTGATCATTTTACGTCTCTACCAGCAGTGTATGAGAGTTGCATCTTCTTCACGTTGCGACCAACACTTGCTATGCTCAGTATTTTTAATTTCAGATAGTTTAATAGGTGTGTAATTTTTTTCTCACTCTAACATCCCTAATGATTAATCTTGTCAAACATCTTTTCATATGCTTATTTTCCATATGTATATCTTTGAGTCTTTTATCTATATTTTTCTGGAGTTTTGTGAGTTCTTTATATATTCTTGAAATTAGTCCTTTATCCAATGTGTAAGTTGCTAAGTATTTTCTCCCATTCTGGGACTCATCTTTTCATTCTCTCAGTAGTGTCTTTTGCAGCGCAGAAATTCTTAATTTTGATGGTGGCTAATTTATCTATTTTTTTTCTTTTATGGATTACGCTTTTGGTGTATCTAAGAAATCTTGCCTAACTCAAGGTCATAAAATTTTTCACTTGTTTTGCTCTAGAAGTTTTATAGGTTCATGTTATACATTTAGATCTTTGAACCAAGTTGAGTTTATTTCTCTATATGGTATCGATGGAAGTTTTTTTTTTTGCACCTGGATATTCAGTTGTTTCAGCATCATTTGCTGAAAAGACTATCATTTCTCCTCTCAAATGCCTTTGAACCTGAAAATCAGTTGTCCACATCTCTCTACTTCTGAACTTTCTATTCTGTTCCTTTGATTTTTTGTGTATCTTTACACTACTATCACCTTGTCTTGGAAGTGTAGCTTCATAAGCCTTGAAATCAGTTGCTGTTAGTTCTTCAACTTTGTTCTTTTTCAACGTTGTTTTAGTTATGCTAAATTTTATTTCCACATGAATTTTAGAATTAGGTTTTCAATTTCTATAGAAAAGCCTACTTGGATTTTGATCTATAAATCAATTTGGGGAGAATTGATGTCTTAACAATATTGAATCTTCTGATCCATGAATACATTATATCTCTCCATTTATTTAGGTCTTCCTTAATTTACCCCAGCAATATTCTTCAGTTTTCAGTGTGCAAGTCTTTTACATCTTTTTTCAGATTTATTTAAGTATTTTATATGTTTGATTTTATTATAAGTAGTATTTAAAAACTTTGATCTCTGATTGTTGGTTGAGATAAATTAATCTTTTTGTATGTTGATCTTGTACCCTGCAAACTTGATAAACTCATTTATTAGTTCCAGTAGCAATTTTGTAGATTCTATCAGGTTTTCTGCATAATCATGTTATCTGCAAATAAAGTAGTTCTACTTCTTCCTTTCCATTCTGAATATCTCTTTTTTTTTGTTGCCCTATTGCACTGGCTAGAACCTTCAGTGCAATGTCAAATAGAAGTAATGAGAGTAGACATCCTTGCTTTTGTCCTGATCCTGGAGTTGTGCCTCACGGGCTCTAGAGCACAGGCCCAGTAGTTGTGGCACACGGGCTTAGTTGCTCTGCGGCATGTGGGATCTTCGCGGAGAAGGATCAAACCCATGTCCCCTGCGTTGGCACCCAGACTCTTAACCAGTGTGCCAACAGGGAAGTCCCGAGCTTGACAAACTTTTGTCAGATGTAAGATAAAGGAGGCTTCATCATCATCATCACTCTCAAACTGCCTATTAAGAACTCACTTCAGATTCTAGAAAATGGTTAAATATTCTTTAGTGCATTGTAGAAACCTTATTCCATATTAACTTGCCATCCAAATTTACTTCCCCAGAATTAACATTTCATTATGTTAAGGACCTTTACAATTCCTCTGAATAAGTGAGTGAGGCTTAGACTTCTCAGACCTTTCCCTTTATAATTGTGTGTCTTCTCTGATTGGCTTCTTGCTCTAGCTACTTCCTACTGACCTTGCTGCCTCTTCTCACCCATATTTCTTTACTCACTGATTTCACCTTTATTGAATCTGAGAACTCTCCTCAGATGTGACTCCAGGTACACTACCTCCCACTTCTTTACCCTGTTTAACACCCTCTTCAATCCTGGCAGTACTCCCTGGGATTGAAATGATTTTGTGTCAGACATTCTTTACTTTGCGGACCCTGTGACCATTTCACGGACCACTCAGATATTACAGATGGTCCTGGAAACATTATGAAACAGTTACTTGGTATCAGTTGTGAGTAATGAGTTCTTTTCTTATATTGGACATTAAGACCATTCCATAAGCGTAGGTTGTGAGATTTTCACAGCATAAAGCCCGGTCACTGATGGCGTAGTGAAGAAAATGTTCTCCAAGTCACTATAGAGTTGAGAGGAAAGGGCATTTGTATTAGATTTGTATATTTAATGCAGAGCCTTAGTTTACTACCCACAATCCCGAAATTTTTCCCTACTTTACTTATGCGTTCTCTTTCAATTTTATTTATTTATTTGCTTACACCGGGTCTCAGTTGCAGCAAGCGTGCTCCTTAGTTGCGGCTCAAGGGCTCCCCAGTTGTGGCATGTAGGCTCCCCATTTGCAGCAGGCAGGCTCCTGTTTTTTGTGGCTTGCAGGCTCCTTAAATGTGGCGTGCGAACTCTTAGTTGCAGCATGCATGTGAGACCTAGTTCCCTGACCAGGGATCGAACCTGGGCCGCCTGCATTGGGTTATCGGAATCTTAACCACTGCACCAGCACGGAAGTTCTAATTATGTGTTATTTTATTCATTGGCAGGTATCTTCCTATCATTTTTCCCCTGTGTTTTTTATAAATACAGAAAGGAGAATAGCATCTTAAAATAAAATGAAGGAAAGGCCTAATGTATCTGAGTTTTTCTAGGTAGCACAAAGGGAAAGGCTTGCCAGCAAGAACTGTGGCAAGGTTATCCCAGATGTCAACTGTCTCTACTACCCAGTGGCTCAGAGCCCTTCTGAAGCTTCCTAATTGTCCCGGACAGCTCCATTATAACTCACCACACAGGACCTAGCCTCCCATGTGACACTCAACATTTAAAAATTACTCTTCATTTCTCCTTCCGTGCAGGCAGCTTCAGTTGAAGAAAGTAATTTCATTTTCTTATGTACTCAGTCATTCACTCAGTCAACAGACCATCACTCCTCTATTATATGCCAATATGTATTCTTCTTTCTGGTAACAAGGAAAGAATAATATATAGTTCCTTGAAGCACTGAAGGAGCTCATAAACTAGTGACAGAAGAAGATGCACAAACAAATCAAAAAAGAATTAACAGTGCTTTGACTTTATTTGAATTTTTATGACTAAATTTATAACTACACCCTGTTCAAATGGAAATAGACGTTTCAGAAAGCAGTAGTGATGTATAAAATCCACAGTAATATGTAAGTTATTTAGAGAGTTAAGACTGGAAATATTTGCACTCTCAAAGAAGCTTGTTAATGCAGATGAATCTCTAATTCTTTTGGTTGCTTAATTATATTTGTAGAGGTATACATATTCCCTCTTCTGATAGGGCTTAGTAACTTGGGGAGTGGGTGCTACAGTTTAAGGTCCTAATTCAGTGGCAGGTCCATCTTGTCTCCTCTTCAGGTCATATTCTCAAGCAGGAGCTACAGGATGAGTTGAGTAAAACAGTCCATTCCTTTGCTTACCGCCAGGCCCATAATAGGCTTCAGTTGGGCTTCGTTGGATGCTTTCATCATCACTTTCACCACCGGATGTCAGAGAACCTTCTGGTTAATCAGGGGCCCTGGAAATGATGCAGAAAAGTACTGACTTAAAAATAATAAATAACATTTATTTAGGGCTTACTGTGAACTCATTGCTTAAAATGTCCTACTTAATCTTCACAAACACTCTGTGAAATTGGTATTGATAAATCTCAGGTATATCCAAAATAAATCTCTATGTAGGGTTGTGATATTTTTAGGTCTTTTATGTCTTTAGGTAAATCTCGGCGCCAGACATAAGGAGGTTCATCATAATACACTTGCCCTAAATAGGTCCAGATGCCAAGAATTGGCAAATTAATTCTTTGGTTTCCATGGGTGGTGAAAAAGGATCATCAAGGTAAACTCTGTAGACTTTCTTTGACTAACCAGACTCCTTTCAACATTGAACTCCTAGACTTTACAGAGGAGAATAGAACAGGGCTATGGGGAGGAGATGTGGGAGGTTTCCACATGGAAGTATCTGAGCATTGGCCTGCCACCTAGAATTAGTGAAAAACTCAATGACTTGCATGGTGCTGTCCATAATTTTCTCCAGTATTTGTATGGTATATCATAAAAAAAATAGTTGTCCATATCTAGTCATTCATTTGCAAGTCTCAGTTGATTTTGAAGGGATAGCATACCTAAACTATTACCTGGGATTGCTGGAGTTTAGTTTTTATTTCTAACAACAGAATATGTTGAAGTCTAGCCTTTAATTCAAAATCCTAACAGCTTCAGGATCTCTCTAACCTTGAAGAAAGGGAAAATGAAGATATTGTGATACCACTTCAGAAGCAAAGCCTGAAGGTCTTCTGTGCTTTAGAAGTGGTGTTGCCCTCCCACGAGTGCTGGAGTCCTGGAGTTGGCATGGCTGAGGAACCTTTGGATAAGTTGGTGGAAGGTCTGTTTTCCAGTATGTGTGTGTGTGGGGAGGTGAGGCAGTTGGATTTCTCTTTTTTCCTTTCTTTCCAAAACTCAACTTTTCAGATACACCATTACCTTTCTAAGCAACTAAAGCCCTGGGCAGAATTATTCTGCCCGACACTGTAGGTTTTTATCTTAGGCAATACCTGACAGCAAGCTTAGGAGCTTGCTGTCAAGAAGCTTAGGAGGAGGGAAAATTAGTTACGAATTTTTTTCTTTTGGTTAATAATTATTTTTGTGCTAAAATAGTCCTTCAAATGCACATGTAATCTGGCCTTCAGTTATCCCAACAAAATCATTGTCTAAAGGTTGAAATAAACTCTTGTGTAAATGTTCAGTCCTTTGCCTCCTATAAAAGGGCCTGAGCAGAATAAGTAAATGTAGATCCCTAGAAAGGGGATTCCGATTAGTACTGAGTTTTTTCCTAGAATTCATGGCACTTGGGCTTAGGGTTTTTAGTCAGAGGCAGGGCTGTTAGCTAATGAGGTGGACGAGGCTCCACCATCCACCTGAGTGGGTGATGGTTGAGGAGAGGCCAGATCATCTGCACTGCAACCAAATCTATCTCACTGTATGAATCCAGCGCTTTACGCACGGGAGAGCAGGGTCTGTAGCAGTGTAGCCTCAGCTTGTCTGTTTGAAATCTGTGAGTAATATGAGATTTGTGCCACGTTCTTGGTTTGCATTTCCCGTCTAATATTTTAGGAACTTCCAGAATAGATCTGAGCAGTAAACATGTGCCATGACAGGGTATACCTGCAACAGAGACATTCACCCGTAGCCCAGTGTTGTGCCTGCCCTTAATCACTAAGGTAATGATCTAAGGATCACAGATGCATTTTTAGTTTTAAGCATATAACCTAGAAATCAGTTATTCATATAGGCATTTTAAATTCATCTGTTTTGGTTGGATTTACGGTCATTATTGTTCTTTATGAAAAGGAAGGTAACCCAGAAGCTTGCTATTCAGAAAGCTATGACAGATGCATTCCAGAAATTGCTGATTGTGCTTTTAGGTAAGACCTTTTTGATTGTCATTGAAGTGCTTCAGTTTCAGTGAGCAAATAAACTTACTTGAAGAGTTAATTGGATGAAAATAATGGTTATCTAAAATATTACATATTCTTTCATTCACCATATGCTTTCACAGCAGCAGTCTTACATTTGTGCTTTGTGGCATTTATGAGAAAAACGACAGCAAATATTATTGTCCCCAGTGTTTAGATGTAGAATGACTTGCCTCAGTTCATACAGAAAGTGTTTGATCCAGTTCTTCCTCAATTGCTTGCTTATCGTACAGAGTAGTGTAGTGATTATAAGCCTTGGACACCTGTGTTTGAGTGCTAACAGTGTCTCTTAAATTTTGTTGTTTTTGTTGTTGCAATTTTAGGTTTTTCTAGCCAGAGATATTTGAAGGTATTTAATATCTCTAAGCTGCAATTTCTTCATCTGCGTATCGGGTTAGTAATTCAGCTTACCACCAAATGAGGGATACTGTAAGAGTAAATGAGATGATGAATGTAAAAAGCTTACAACTATGCCTGAAACATAGTAAGCAGATAAAATATATTGACTATTATTATTACCGTTGTTTTCTTGTTGAAGTGTTTATTTCTGATATATTGGGTGAATATGATTCTTATATAATAATAGGCTATGTTTTTGTGAGCCTTGAAACTGGTCATGCTATTGAATAGCGTTGATTATGTTCCCTATCGAGTTATACAGTGGTGAGATTGTCACAGGCTGTGCCCAAAGGAAACTTTATGATTAGTAGATCCCCGGAACAGAACTGCTCCCCTGCTTCACAGCCCTGCAGGCTTAGAGACTGAGAAATCCTAGCTAAGTTGTCAGACACCTTATTTGCTTTTAAGAGTTGACCCTGGATTGGTCTTGGCCTTTCATCCTGGGCAGTCGTTCCACTGAAGTTTGACTTCCCTGGTCATCGGGCAGAATCTCCATCAGCTGTCAACTCTGGGTAACAACCTTTAAGAACCAAACTAAATGCCTGAGTTGTTTGTGCCTAATATGCCAAGGCACTCCTTGTATGTACACAAAACTTCTTAGACCAAAAAGCCTGGTGGCTCTAGCTTGCCTTGAGGAAAGCTGTATTGTCCAAAGGGTACACGGGCCAGTTTCTGCCAGTAGAGTGTTCAAATGCTCCCTCTGTCTGTCTCTGTCTCGAAAGCTTTGTTCATTTTATCTGGTAGAATTTTTGTTCCAAGGAGTAGCACTTGCCTTGCTTCTAATAGGAAGTATCTGTTATAGTCCAGTGGTATCTCTCCCAGGTTTGAACTCACTTTGACTCCCACCTAATGCCTTCCTATTTAATTGTATTGTGATTGAACATTTTTGTTTCCACAGCTTTTAATTTCAATGTCCTTATTCCTTAGTTGTCATTTCTAAGATCATAAATTTTTGAACCAACGTTGATACTTCTTATATATGTTTTCACAAATAATTATGATAAAAACTGAAGTGTCAGATGAGGGAACTTCTAGGAAAATGCTCTTATTTTCTGCTTTTAGAAGTCAAAAGAATGTCTAATTATTCGGTGCTACCATTGTGTACAGGAAGTTTTAGAACAAGAAAACTTCTGAATTGATCCTTGTTAACTTTATTACAGAAAGTGGTAAAAGAGCTGTGGCATATAGACCCTGTGAAGATGTCACAGATGCTAGAACCGAAGAGGAACTACAGGATTTAATTCAAGTATGTGGAGATAAAAGCTCAAGGGGTACACAGCCAATGTAGCCATAATTCAAAACAACCAGCAGGATATGGAAAACTTCAGCATATCTACTAAGTTCTGTCTTCCTTAGGAAATGGTGAAAATCTGAAAGTGCTTTTGTGGCAGGGAATTTCTAGGACTTTTCCAAGTCCCGGGCCTTGTCTCTGGCCCCTTATTTGAAGTTTGGAGAGCAGCATTGAGGACCACCAGTGTACGTCTATGGTTGTGGACACAGGAGAAGACACAGGCCTTTTAGAACTCCCCTCAAATAGAATTGCAGGGACTTGGGAACAAAGTAACTATGGTCTTAAGTGTGATTATGCTACACTGTTTAAAAACTATTCATGCCTTTCAAGTAAGGTATATTACCCAGATCTCAGCATCTCATATGTATCTTGTGTTAAATATTTTGCCAAAGAACCTTTCTGTAAACCATTTATATGGATGCCTCAAATTAGGGATTAAGTTGTCAACCTAATTTCTGAAAGAAAACATTAATGTACTGCATATAGGATTTTTATTTAAAAGGAGCAAGAAATGTGTTTCATGTCACTGAGAGCTTAATTTTTGGCTAGATTTCTGATTATTTAACTCACCCCAATGTTGCAAAGTTTGTTTTGAAGGGAAGAAAGTAGAGAAAGAAAAGGTGGTTACGTTCTGAAAAATGAAAAATTTTTGAAAGTTTTTCCCGTACAAAATAATTATTTCAATTCAATTTAAATCAGTCAAGGAAACTTGAAACGTATCCATGTTTGGGCTTTAAGAAGTCTAGCTTCCTATGAAATGTGAGAGGAAAGGGTTCCGTATTGATACTAAAGATTCTGGAAACCTGATTATAACAACAGATCCACTCCTAAATGAGGCCAATCTTGGAATCAGTTCCATTTAGAAACCATTATGTGCTAGGCACTGGAAATAAGGTGAAGCTCCTTCTCTCTTGGAGTTTAGGTGTTAAAGGTGTACCAGACAATTAAAAAGGACTAAAATTAAATAGATTATGAAAAGGACTGTGAAGAAATTAAACTGAGTGCTAGTTACAGTATTTCAAGAAAAATTACTTAACATGAAAATTACTTAACATGCTGACTTTAATATTCTAAGTGTCTTCTCCATATGTGCACACAGGGCAGACCTCTGAAAAGTGACACTGTAGTTTTTTCTAGATTAATGGCTCTGTTGGGACAAGTTGGGATGGGCAAAGTTTTCCCATGCTAATGTAAAGGGCCAGTCACTTGGTTTTAGACTCTTTTTCCCAGAATGAATTGCTTGTCTGCCCCAAACCCCTCCTACAGAAATTCTGGAGTCATCACTGATTCAGTGGTGACCCCCTAATAACACAGTTGTGCATGAATAATGAGACGTGAATACTGAGAGTTTGGAGGAAATGGCAACATTTTAGCATAATTGTAAGGAGTGTTCCCCTCCCGCCACTCTAACTGGTGCTCATTTTGCAGGTCAGCTACTTTTCTTGTCAGCCATGTGGCCAAAGGGAGCAGGAATGTCTCTCAGACTTCAGCTTTGAGGAGGAAGAGTTCAGATTGCCAGAACTGGCCTAGCACTTTTGAATTTCCCAGAATGCCAGGTCCTGTGGTTTCCTCGGGAAGCTCTACATCCTTCCCTCCCCCCTCAACCCCTGGGCTGCTGTACTTTGGGGCCACTGGGTTCTGCAGCCCAAATCTCACCTCATTGTTTGGGGCCAGGGAGGGCAGGGCGGGGTTTGGAAGAGGGCCCTGTGGAACGTAATTGTCACCTTTGCAAGGGGAAGGATGGCTTGCATCCTGGGGACTCTGGGAGAAAGTCCCAATATGGTGGTGCGGATTGGATCTCCGCATGAGCCTAATAACGGTGGCGTAACTAAAGACGTCATAAATAACGGGTGGGACGTTAGGCCGGAGTGGGGCGCGCGGTTGCTAGCGTGAGCTGTCGCTTTGGCGCTGGCATAGCGGTTCAGCTCGGTCGCAGGATGTGGCTCCAGCTCCTCACTGGCCTGGGTCACTGCCCCTGGAGCCGCTGCATGTTATGTCCCTGCTGTGCTATTGGTTGCCTCGGCTCTTCCTCACATGGCAAGGACGGTGGCTTCTAGTCCAGGCAGTTCAGCCTCCGGAGTGGGCCCTGGGCCCCGTCCAGGTGACCCCCAACCCCTCGCGGCTGACAGAGGCTTGGTCTTCACAGGCCTCAGACCCTGCTCCCAAATTGCCCCATGCCCTTACACCCCTGGCAGAAGCCGTGGGCTTTAATTACTTAACGTCCTTGTCTCCAGTCCAGATGTTGGCCCTGCCTCATCAGAAGTTGACTGAGACTGGGGTTCCATACCCGGACACGGATTCGGTTGGAGAGCTGCCTACAGGGCCAGATCAGTTTGCTGTTCCACATCAGGATCTGAATAACAAGCAAACCTAACATCAAAAGCTCCCAGAGGCAGTTCCAGTGCTAGACTGGGATCAGAATCAGCCCTTGGTTCTCCCTTCTCGACACAAAAGTAAGACTAAACACATAGGTCTAGACGAGGCTGAAGGTCACCAGTCATTTGTTCATACTTGTTCCACCTCTAGGTAGTAACAGCTCAAAACCAATGAAGTTCACTGTTTCACCCCCAAACCTGAAGAAAGATCTAGTTCAGCATCAACGGCTTGACAAAATTATTGTTGGAACTATAGGCAAATTTCAAAACAACACTCAGGGTCTAGAACGACAGTTGCAGGGTGATTATTTAGATCCCAGTATGGATGCCATTTATCCTGAGGACAGCCTACCTAGGGAGTTTTTGGGGTGCCCAGATGAACCTACGGAACCCCCTGAGGAAGCTGAAATTTGTCCATCCCAGCAGGATGGCCCAGTGCTAAGTTTGATCACTTGATTAAGGTGGTTTCTTCCATATCTCTCCATTGTAAAGTTATTGTTCCCCTTGGTAATTGATAAATAATCTGTGGGGTGATACTTTGGGACCAGTGAAGATCCTACTTTCAAACAACTCTTCACCCAAGTGTGCATCAATGATAATCTTTGTCTGAATCGATTATAACATTGATAGTTGCAAAATGACACTTTCCTATTCTATCATCCATTTTGCATTTATTAGCTGACATTATTCTATACAGAAGAGCTCCCCCACTTCATTTTGAGTATCACCATGAACTCATGTGCTTTTTTTAAAATTAACTATGTTATACCTTATTATAATGATAATGTTATTCTTTGGAATGTTCCTTTTGTCTAGATTTGGCCAATGCGATCTCTGTTATTGTTTAACCACACGATGCTTTTTTATTACTAGAATAACTTCTAATATATTACTACTCACAAATGGGAACTGAGAAAGGGATTCCAGAAGGTTCGGTCTTATTCAGACTCTTCTTAGAAGTGTGCCTTCTTCCTGTGTACTCTCAACCCAAAGTGACGCTTTTGGGTTGGAAGGAGATACTTCTGAATTAAAGTACAGATCAGTGTCACCCAATTGTAATCCGTGTTCTCTTTTTTCTAGGCATACCATATCTACTGCCATCCTAATCCTTCTGTTGGGCACATCTCTCCTCCTCTATATTTATTTACAACAGTCAAGAGCAGCAATTGGCCAACCGGCCCCTATTCAGTTCTCCAGTCCATATGCCCCAAGAACTCCTTTTTTAACTGGTCTGTGGTGGCTTTGGCCTACCTCTTCTACCTACTCAAGTAACTCTTTTACCACGAATTTAATTATCTGTGTTTCCGTTTATAGGATCTTAACTAGCAGTATGGCCTGCTGCCTCTGCCAATTTAAAAATACCATTGAGGTTGTCTGTAAGAGAGTCAAGCTGCATTGTGACACTGAATGCCTGACAGACTTCACACATTGTGGTGAGTATCAATTGTGGGATAATAAATTTTTAATTTAATTTTATTTTTAATCAATGATGATAATTTTTAAAATTAATTTAAAATTAAAATTAATGATGTAATTTTATTATTTTAATTCATTCATTCAGAGTTCCAGCTCCCTAAGTTTCTAAGAACTACCCCCTTGGTAAGAATCAGAGTGTTGGTTACATTATTAAGCTAATTGTTGCTCAGTTACATTGTTAGCTTAATAATGTTACTGATCCACATACATAAAGGGACAAGAGAAAGGAATGGAAGCGGGAAGGGAATTAACATTAATGGCCACATGTCCTATGCTATGCTCTCTGCAAATGAGAACTTATTGATAGAGTGCATCACAGTTTGTAAACTGATTTTATATACATTAGGTCTCAAGTACCATTTGTGTTATAGGACAGGTGTAAATATATTTTTGTTTATTTTGTTTGTTTCTGCAGTTGTATAAAGAGTACAAGTAATGCTGTATTATGTGCTTTTTGGAGGCTGAGATTTCTGGTTCCATAACCAGAAGTTGCTACCTAGCCCTTCTAATGGAATGGAGAGCTAGTTCATTCTTAGACTGTCCAGCTGTGAACTTGCTCTGAATCTCAAGCTTTTCTATCCACAAAACACTTAGGGGCTTTCAACTATTTTTCTATATATTAGATTTATTGGCACTAACTTGGTGACTTCCAAAATGTGCTTTCATGCCCACGTAGCTTGAATACAGGTCTCTATCGCTGATCTAGAGCACATCATAAATAATAACACTTTGCCAGTTATATAAAGACAATGTCACTGATTTTTCAACACAATTTGGTTTTTTTGTCTGTGACACACAGCTTGTGGGATCTTAGCTCCGCAATCAGGGATTGAACCCAGGCCACAGCAGGGAAAGTGCCAGGTCCTAACCACTTGACCACCAGGGAACTCCCCCAAACAATTTTTTTACTAGTTGTATTACTCCCTTCTCCCCCAGAAGTGGGCAGAAAAGGCATTTTTAATCTCCTTTTACAGGTGAGGAGAAACAAGATGAGAGGTGTTAAGTGCTATGACCCTAGTGCCCCGATCTCCTCTCTCCAGTTTGGGGCTCTCTGCAAGCCCATGCTCCTCCTTTCTCATGACCCTTCCCTCCTCCTTTGACCCTTAGGAAAAATACATTTAATCCTTTTGGAAGTGAAGCCCAGCTACACAATGGTACGCCTTACCTTCACACAGTCAGAAGCTTTGGATGGTTCCCCAAGTAAAGCTGGAAATATTAGAAGTAAAATGAAATGAAAGCAAAGTAGCCATCTGACAGAAGTTGCTTTTTCCCTTCTGCATTTTGGACCTCAAGTATTATTCTATTGATTTGTTGAACATTCCACATTGGCATACAATTGGCATACAATCTCTTAACTTATACCCCAGATCCCTGCCCAAATTTTAGCAAAGAGCTCGGGCGGACATAGTGTTTTTTTTCTGTATAGAGCCTTCTGTTATGAGGGCTGGGATATATGGAAGCAGGGACTGAGCAAAGGACTCGGTGGGTGGGTGGAGAAGAAAATGTCCAGATGACGACCTGTTAACGGCGGTTGTCGTGGTCATCTGTGATAGTAGCAAGGACACAAGCATACTAAAGAGGTGGATAGAGGAAGCCTCACACTCCTCTGCCTCTGAGGAAGGACAGGATCGGGTATATAAATTTGAGGAGTCACAGCAGATCTGCAGAGAGTCCAGCTGAGTAGGGGAATATTTGTCTTCCAGCCTTGGATTTTCTTCAGTACTGGCCCCTGGGAACCAGTGGAGTAATCCTGAATATAGTTAGTATATTTCATGCTACAGAATTTTCTGAGTAGATAGCCACTTTTTCAAGAGATACCATTTTGCTGTTGCCATCATAGACTTAAGTGTGTGTTTCTTTTTCTCCTAGGTGGCACTCAAACGTTGACTGATTCCTAATTTATTTGGCTGTGGACTAAAAGCTGTCCCATCAGTCTTCAATGATCAAAAACAGTTACTTTTGACCGATGAAGAAACATCTATAGGGAATGCAGAAGGATCGTTGATGAAGGTGTTGCAAGCCTGGAAGAAGAACAGCAGCGAGCTGACTATTGAGTCAGAGAGGGCATCCTCAGATAAAGTGCTGTCAGCTTGTCAGGCTTCATGAATGAGCAGCTGGACTTTAATAATAAAAGTGATATTATCAGTGCACTGAATTACATACTGCCTTTTATCTCAGAGGGGAATCTAGGAGATGTGGAATCAACATTATTACCATTCATTCAACTTCTTTTTTCAAATACACAAGATGGAGATATGCCACTGGGCATTTTGAAAATCAGTACAAGGAGCCCTTCTGTTAAAGCTGTATCCAGCAATTCAACTAATAAATATAATGAAGAAACTTCACTTTCTGGAAAATTTGTTAGATGCAGAAACCGAAGAAAAATTTGATGAGGTTAAAAAGGAAGATAAACCTGCCACGCATATGCGTTCCAACCATTTAGGTGCCCTGTTTAAACTCTACATCTTTCAAAAGAAATTGGAAGCTGCCCAACCAGAGAAAGACAGCCTAACAAATATTGAGAGTACAGAGAAAAAGCTGCTGAGAGTGAACAGGGTCCTCAGGGCCCAAGGGGCATACAGAAAATGCACCTCAAAGCAGTGGGAGATGAGAGCGTCAGGAGGAAACGGAATGCCCAGCAATCTGTGGCGAACACTGCTGAAGAAAGAAGGCTCAGGAGGCCATCCCCAAGAAAGCTGAAACAGCTTCTCATGGTGCAGAGGCCCAGGAAGCTGGTGGGAAAGGCGTCCAATGCAGAGTCTTCATTCATAAAGGAACCCAAGGCAGCAGGCTCCTCTTCCCTGAAACAGTACTTCAAGGGCAGGCCTTCTGCCTCCATCCCTCCAAAATCCCCATCTGAGGTTAAAAGCAAATCAAAGACTTATCCCACACTATTTTTGTTTAAGAAGCTGTAAAGGCTAGAGTTAGAAATATTGAGGCTCCTGAACTAATCTCACCTTCTGGTGAAAAATACATCTTGCATAAAACTCAGTCTCATCGGGTCCACGGAAAACCCAAAGTCAAAAGGAGTCGAAAGTTCAGAAAGAAAAGTTCACTCAATAGAATGATGCTTGCAAGCTCTCCGTTCTCTGTAGCGAGGAGTCTAAAATATCCCCTCCACGAGAGGCTGTTTCACCTTCAAGAGAAGTGACTTCTCAGGAAAATCCTTTTCCAGCATTATTTTCTTTTACAGACACTTCTGCAGAAAACACTAGTTCAGAAAACAATACTGCACAAAATGTTTCTGTTGAAATTATTTCTAGAGGAAACTCTACTCTACCAGGAGGAAACGGCCCTGGAAACACTACCCATAGGACCATCTCCACTGCACCTTCTACTGTTGCTGCAGATAACAGTATGCCAACTGTTCAACACACCAACAAAACACAGTGGGAGTACCACAACACGGGCACTGAATTATCCCCAAGCCCACAGGCTTCACTTTCTCAGGGCTCACATCCCCAGGTGATGAAGTTGAAACTCAGCTAAACCAGCAGCTACAGTCCCTCATCCCCAATAATGACATGCAAAGGCTCATTTCTCATGTTATCCAGACTTTGAAAATGGACTGCTCAGAGACCCACGTGCAGCTGGCCTGTGCCAACCTCATCTCTAAAACAGGCCTCCTGATGAAACGTCTCAGCAAGCAGCAAGAAGTAAATGTTTTGAAAGCGGAATGGCATACGGACCAGTGGAAAACTGACAACTATATCAGTGAGAGCACAGAAGCCCAGAGTGAGCAGAAAGAGCAGGAGTCAAGTGAGGTGAGGATAACCCCTGACACATGGGAGCTGGACTTTTACTCAGTTTAGGATATGCCATTAACATGCCCAAGCAGGAATACCATGGGCTCCTAGTCTGTATCTTTTCTTCAGCCATGAAACTGCCTATGACAGTGATCTCCCACTTTGCTCGTTTATAGAGGGTGCCACTATTCCTAGGTTAGACGAGAAAAGGCATAACACAAGATAAATAATGTGTAGATAAATAAATTGTAGAAGAAAATGCTAATGATAAGATTAATAACACTAAGTTTGGTTTGTTCTTATAGAAGCTACTCGCCTGAAAGGATTGGGTTTTATAGTATTTTAAGAATAGTTAACTATCATTTAGAATAGGATTAAAAATAGTTAGCTTTCATCCCTTCCATGTCCTTGTATTTAAAAAATCGTTACTTATTTTTTTTAGCTCACAGAAGAAGTTCCAGGATATGGCTATAACAACAAACTCATCTTGGCAATATCTGTAACTGTAGTAGTGACGATTTTGGTTACAATTCTGTGTCTCATTGAGGTAAGGACAATAATTAATTCAGATTCAGAACCCACAAACTGATAATCAAAGCCACCTTTCCTCCTCCTACTACTTGATTCTTCTCTTTAATCAGGAGGACTGAATACACTTTGTTCTTTTACTGAAAAGTATATTCCCAGGATTTTTGTTTGTTTGTGTTTTTGTTTGTTTTTTCCTTGCGTTGGGTCTTCACGGCGGTGTGCGGGCTTCTCATTGTGGTGGCTACTCTTGTTGTGGAGTACGGGCTCTAGGCACGCGGGCTCAGGAATTGTGGCTCATGGACTTAGTTTCTATGCAGCATGTGGGACCTTCCCAGACCAGGGATCAAACCCGCGGCCCCTTCACTGGCAGGCGAATTCTTAACCACTGTGCCACCAGGGAAGTCCCCGTAGGATTTTTAAAGGAACTCCACTCCCAGGAGATCTCTTTGGAATTGGATCCATGGTGACAAGCCATTGGACTATTTTGACAAGTGAAGTTTATAAGAAGGCCAGAGTTGACATGATAGTAAAATTTCTTCAACACAAAAAAATATGCTGATTTCATGTACTCACCAGTCACTCTCATTCTACTGTTGATTTCTTTACTTGTTGGCTGAAATGATGAGAGATATAGGATCTCCATACTCATGGAGCGATCAGTCACCCTGGGAGGGCTAAAAGGATGTGCCTAAAAGATGAAAGTGTGATCTCTTCAATTCCTTAGGTTTACTTAGCAGCTTTCTTCTCCGGTGTATTAGGAATTGTGTAGATAGCTTCCATTAAAACACTGCAAGTAAAATCCTGCAGCAGGCTACCCTAAAGTATGTCATATTTATAGTAACCTATTCCTGGAGCTAGCCTGTTTACCTTTTGTTCAGTTACATAATGGTTTATTACTTTTCCCAACAGGCAGTTGCTGACATTAAAAGAGTGACTTTAATAAGCTGACAATCTTGATTCTACCCTACCAATCCAACCTACTTTATTTACCTTTTCTCTTGTAATGGCAGCCCCCCATTCCAGCCAAAGCAGCTCCTCACTGTACGCTAGTTACACCAAACCCATTCCTACTTTTGTCTGTGCCTTTGACCATCTAAAATTCCTTTATTTTGCTTTGCCTGTGGAAGTCCTATGAATCTCTCAAAAGCCAATTTACGTTCAGATATCTTTCTTCATAAAGCGTTCCCTGAATACTCCAGCCCTCCTGATCCTTGTCCTGTGAGGTTTGTCACCATTTGTTAGGGGCCATAGCAAAGCAGTCCCCTCCCCTCAGAACTGACAACAGTGGTAAGCAGTTTTTAAAAGGCAGCCCCCAAGAGAGAAACACCAATGTTAGCACATCACGGAGCTGAGCAGAGATGTGTAAGGACCAATGGCTTCCTGGCCTATCAGACTTGAATAAAACCTGACATGATGTACTAACTTCTCAAGAGAAATGTGTCTATCTGCAGGAGGGTTGGTCAGTAGTGAAAGCATAGAAAAGGTGAGGAGAGACCAACATGGGCAGTGCCCATCCTCACATTGCCCGAGAGTAGAGATGGCACCTTAGGCAGCATAACTGAAGAGTCAGGCCCACTAGCCAGGCTGTGCCTGTTGAGGAGATGGGCCGATCCAGCTACCTCAGGCCTTCCCATTAAATTCTCGATTCAGCTGATTCCTTTTCTAATTCTGTTCTCACCAAGTAGCCTTCGATTTTGTGACTGTGCTTGAGTGTGCCACTGAGGCCTGTATCTACAAAAGGTAATTCACTGATTGTGCAGACACGGATGCCTGTGTGTAGAACAGATGTATTTCTCATTGTCCAGTAATAATTTGGCATTCTGATTTTTGAGCAATCCTGTGATATTGATAAAGTGAGACCACCACAACAGGAAGACATGAGTTCTCTCTTGGTGAGGAAGAGTATGATTTCTGAGCCTCGGAGGCTGGGGACTAGCATGGGGTCAGCTTGCTAGTCATTGGCCATTGCCCAGACTGTACCCTCTACATCTCCAGGTGGCATATGGGCTTTTGCTTTTTTACAGTTTCTGTAAAGTCCCCTTTTTATTGTTTTTAACTTCTATGTAGTTTAACCTTGCATTTGTTTTCTTTTGTTCTGATTTCGCCTGCGAGATCTTAGTTCCCCAAGTAGGGATTAAACCTGTAGCCTCCGCAGTGAAACCGAGGCGTCCTAACCATTATTTCCTCTCCCCGCTTATATGATAAGCTTTTTGAGGACAGGGGCCATGCAGTGCTCTTCTTATGGTAGCCAATAATGGTGTTCAACGGAAGAGAGATGAGGCGTTATGTCAATTCCACAGTGAAGAATAATGCAGCCGAATATTTATCTGAAGTAGCATAGAGTCAAGCAATAGACCCATGTTTTCTTAAGACTTTTGAAATGTCATGTTTTAGTATTCGAATCAGTGGGAAAAAATGAATTAATGGTGATAGAATAGCTGCCTAACTATTTGGGGGGTAAATAATAGCAGATCCCCATTTTTCATCTTAAATAAACATATTTCCATAAATGTGAAGAAAGACCACATAAAGGTATTAGAAGAAAATAAAAGCAATATTTTTATAATCTTATGGTGGGAAAGAGCCTTCAGAGCCTGATGCCACAAGCAGAGCCTTTGATATATTCCACCATCTTGTCTGTGACACCAGCTTAGCACTGATTCATGCCAAGCATAAGAGGAAGAGTTTTCCATATATTGTCTGATTTTATGCCCACAGTCCTGTAAGGATGATATTACTATCCCTCTGTCATAGATGAAGGAGATCAATGTAAGGCCCCGGTGGCCAAACCAAAAGCAGAAGCTAGTTTCACCCGACTGCAAAGCTTGTGCTCCCTACTCCACTCTTTTGTCTTGTCTCCTCAGAGACAAAAAAACTGGAAAGATTCGAAACACTGAAATTCAATGAAAGCCAGTATTTCTTTACTATAAGGAGTCTGTTGTTTGTTTGGTTGGTTGTTTGGGCGTGGGGGGTTTGGCCATGCTGTGCAGCTTGCGGGATCTTAGTTCCCTGACCAGGGATTGAACCTCGGGCCACAGCAGTGAAAGAGCCAAGGCCTAACCACTGGACCACCAGGGAACTCCCAAGAGTTTCATAAGTCAACAAGAAGAAGACAAATAGTCCAGGGAAAAAGGGGGCAAGTGCTGTGAAGAGTAGGATGTGTGTTGACAGTCAGCCACCATATCTGCCCGACCTCTCCTCATGGCTCATGTGCGGTGGGTTTTGTTAGCCAGGCCTTTGTCACCTCATGACGTAATAATAATCCATAATATTTTCTTCAGGTAATTTAATAATCTGTCTAGAATTTGTTGTATTTGTTTTTTTCGTGTGGTTGAGGTAGGGGATCTAACATTTTCCCCCTATATGAAGATCTAATTGTTTTCAAACCATTCACTGAATGGTTTAGTCTTTCTTCCCTGGTCTAATATTCTATCTTTATCTGGACTCTATTCTGTGATCCAGTTATCTTGTCCTGTACCAGTACCAATATCACAGTGCTTAATTCCAGTTGCTCTATAACATATGTTATATCTGGTAGGGCAAGGTCCTACTCTTTGACCTTCTTTTTCATACATTTCATAACTATTCTTACATATATTCTCTACCAAATGTCTGCTGGCCAGGTTTCATTTAAAAATTATTTTGGCTATAAATGGATTGCATTGAATTTGGAGGTTAATGTGAGGAGAATTGATGTCTTTTCAACCTTCTAGGAGGATGGTATCTCATGCCATGTAAGTACATCTTCTTAATGTCGTTCAGAAAAGTTTTAATATTTTCATCTCATAGGTTTTACAAATTTTTGGTTAAGTTTATTCCTAGGTACTTTATGCATTTCTATTGATATAGTAAATGGGATGTTTCTTCTGTTTCTTCGTTAGTTATTTGTGTTATATGGGAAAGCTATCGAGGCTTATATGTGGATCTCTTGATTTTGTATGGAGCCATCTTACTCATGTTGCTTCCAATAGAATTTCGGTTGATTCTTTTGGTCTTTTTAGGTCCGTCATTTCATGTGCAAATATTTTTGTCTCTTCCTTTCCAATACTTCCTTTTTCTTATCGTACTGATTAAGACCTCCTCCACAATGATCAATAGTAGCAGTAATCATGGGCATCCTACTCTTGGTCTTGACTTTAAAACAATGCTTAGGTTTCTGCTAGATACTTTTCTTTTCTTTTCCTACTTCTAAGAGATTTACTAGGAATTATCTGTTGAACGTTATCTAAAACAGTCAATAAAATATATCGCCTGCTGCATGCAAGTCCCTATGTTAGGTACTGTGGAAGAGTCAAAGGATTATTAAACAGGGTAGATTTCCTTTCCTTAAAAACGTTATCATCTCACTGGGTAGATAAGATTTAAAGTAAAAAGGAGTGAATAAGGATTTGGAAATACTTGTAATGGCTAATCATGATCACGTTTTCTTTCAAAACGGATTTATTCTCATAGAATTGCGAAAGAGGAAGTGAAAAAGAGAAGCAGAAGGTAAATATTGGTTTTGAAAGCAGAATTTTACAACTAGAGGAGAACTTAGAACTCATCTATTTCAATTTCCTGACCAAAGGCAGGAAGAATGTTTAATTATCCTAATGGTTTACCCTAATTTATTTATTAGCAGAATTAGCTCCCCAGCCCAAGCTGACTTAGAACAGGACTGGCACTGATTCATCTGCTTTCACTAGTCCTTTAAGGAAAAAGGGTAGACGGGGAGAGGTTTTGGTTGTACCTGTTCCTGCTGGCCTGATGCCTGGTTCCTAGGCATTAGGCCAGGCCAGAGGCCTTCTAGGAGGCTCTGGGGTAGGGAAGGCCACATGGTTGGGGATGTAGGGGCTGGCCTCACTCAAAGCTGACAAAAGGTAGAACACATGAGTCCCTTTTGTAATTTGGCAAGGAAACTTCGCTTCTCATCCTACTGTTTTTTATGCCCCTACTCTATTCCCTTTATCCAAACTTCGTAGAATTTTAACGGGGAGAAACGTTAGACAGCAGTTTGTCTCTTCCTTTAATAATAAGGAAATGGAGAAGGAGAAAGGGAAAATATATTGCCCTATGGTCATACAGCTAGTGATTATCAAAAAGAAGAGGGTCCCTTTCCACTGAGGACTTCTCTACTGATCGCACTGTGCTCGGGCTGTGAGCTACGTTTTATGTCACGATTCAGTATACACATACTATATGGATATAAGTAGTTTCTGAAACAACCTTATTTTGCACTCTGATTTTTTTCTCTTCTATTTGGATTCACAAAGAGTATTTCCCTGCTGGTCATGGCCTTTAAACTGATTCCAGAATTCACTGACACCACAGTGACAGCCTGCAGTATGAAAGTCGGAGAGGTATATATAACTTTGCTCGTTGGTTTCAGGTGTTTACTTGGTGTGATTCAACTTATAGGATAGAGCAGCCAGGAAAATAAAAGCACCTTCTGCCCACACCCAAACCCCAGCAAATGCTGCATGTGTGACTAAGTCCGAAACGGACTGGTGTGAAGCGCATCTAGAGAGTAACGTGTTTCTGCCCTGCACCGTTGTGCAGTGTTTTCTCTGCACGATGTCACTTGGCCAAGGACCAAGAAAGGTGAGTGGGGCTGAAAATCCTGCCTATACTCCATGCTAAGCTACATATAAAGGTCTCCCCAAAGACACTAGGGGGCCATTTTGGACAGACACAGAGAACTTCTGGAAGGCCACCATGCATGCAATGATTTTCAAGATTCCGGATCTGTGGTGATTTTGCTCATTGTGATTATGGACTGAGGTACCCATTTAGTCCTAATAAGACCAGAGATAACACATTGTGAGACAGATGAAAAATGACATGTAACGCTAACTGTGTTTTCTTCCAAGGGGCTTTTTTCGATTTCTGCTGCGTAAGAGAAGCTCAGGGCAAAGTGAGAGTCAGGTAAATTTGAGGAGGAGAAAGTACTGTGGCCAGAGAAAGCAGGGGAGATGCAGAATTAATATTTCCCTTTCTGTTCCTAGGAGAACCCTTTCGGGAGAAGGCGGCCACTTTGACATAGGGATACATATAGGCCTCTCAATGCCACACGCAAGGAAAGTATGGAACAAAAGCTACACAACAGGGAGTCTTCTGATGAGGATGAGATATTTCTCCATCCCAGTAGAAGGCCCAAACTCGTAATCCTGAGCTCACTGAGGAGGCTGAATCTTTTCCCCAGGAGGGCCCTGCTCAGCATCCGCAGACCCCTGAGGAGGTTGAATCTTTTTCACCCCAGGCAGAGGCCCAGACTCAGCATCCAGAGCCCACTGAAGAGGTAGAACCACCTCCACTTCAGCAGGAGGCTCCATCTCAGCCTTCAGAGGCCCCTGAGGAACTAGAAACTCCAAGTTCTCAGGAGGCCCTCGCCCGGCCTTTGGAGACACTTAAGGAGCTTGTAGTTCGACCAGTAGCACATCATGGGGTAAATGAAGCTCAGCAGTCAAACTTGTACAATGTCACTATTAAACCTATGGATCTGACACTTACCATAACTCCACAGGTCACTAAATAGGTTGATCCTTCTCCAGTCCAGCAGGAGACCCCATCTCAGCATCCAGAGAGCCATGAGGAGGTTGAACCTCCGCCAGTCCAGCAGGAGGCACCATCTCAGCTTCCAGAGAGCCCTGAGGAGGTGAACCTTCTCTACTCCATCAAGATGCCCCAACTCAGGCTCCAGGTCTCCCTACTGAGTATGTACATGAAATTCCAGTGAGTGAAGAGGTAGCATCTCTACCTGGCATTCAGCATCACACTCATTCCAACTTGCCCAGTGTTACACCTCAACCTCTGGAATTGGAACTTAGCATCACTCCAGAGCCCACTACGGAAGCTGAATTTCCTACAGCTCAGCAGGAGGACCTGACTCCACCGCTTGAGCATCCTGAGGGGACAGAATCTTCTCCAACCCAACAAGAGACTTCAGCTAAGCCTCCAGAGCCTCCTGGAGAGGTTGAGCCTTCAAGGGAGCAGGAGCAACCAGCTCAGCCTTCTGAGCCTCCTGGGGAAGTTGAACCTTCTCCAACCCAGCAGGAGCCCACAGGTCAGCCCCCAGGGCCTCTTGTGGAAGCTGAGCCTTCTCCCAGTGAACAGGATCAACCGACTCAGCCTTCTTAGCCTACAGAGCCTCCTGAGGAGGTGAAACCAGCAACCCAGCAGGACATTCCAGCTCAGCTTTCAGAGTCTTTTGGAGAACCTGAAACCTCTGCAACCAAGGAGGAAGCCTCAGCTCAGTATCCAGAGACCCCTAATGAGACAGAATCTTCTGCAACCCAGCAGGAGATCCCAGCTCTGTCTCCAGCGGAGATAGAAACTTCTGCAACCCTGCAGGAGCAAGCAGCTCAGCCTCCAGAGCCTCCTTCAGGGGAGGTGGAACCTTTTCCGACTCAACAGGAACAGCCAGCTCAACCTCCAGAGCATCATGAAATGACAGTTTCACCTCCAAGTCACCCTCATGCTCAGCATTCAAACTTATCCAGTGTCATTGTCAAATATGCAGATGTGGAGCTTACCATAACGAAAAGACCCACTCCAGAGGTGGGACCTTCTCCAAATCAGCGCAAGCCTTCAGCTCAGCCCTCAGTGCCCCTTACTAATGCAGAATTTTCTATGGTGCAACATGAGGCCCCCACACTGCCTTCACAGCCACCTGAGGAGGTTGAACTTTTGCCCGTTCAACAGGAGGCTCCAGCCGCACTCTAGAAGACAGTACACATAATAAACCTTCAGTACAAGCGGAGACCCCAGCTCAGTATCCAGAGCATCGTGGAGAAGAGGTTATACCTGCCACAAGCCAGCTGTAGACTCCAGATCAGCTTTCACAGGCTCCTGACGTACCTTCTCCACCTCAGCAGGAAGCCACAGCTCAGCATCCAGAGTCTCATGGTGAGGTGGAATCCTCTCCAACTCAGTCTCCAGAGCTCTCTAATGTGACTGTAGTTTTCTCTGCAGAGCATCCTGTGACAACAGATTCTCCTCTAGGTCAGGATCAAGCTCAGCTTCTGCAGCGGCCCGATGTCACTGTTAAACCTGTGGATCTTGCCCTTACCGTAACTCCAGCGTTCACTAATGAGGTTGAAACTTCTCCACCCCAACAAGAAACCTGGGCTCAGTCTAGAGTCTCCCCTCAGCAGTTGGAACCTTTGTCAGTCCAGCAAGAGATTTCAGATCAGCATCCAACCCCTCTGAAAATGATGAACCTTCTGCAGTTCAGCAGGGAGCCCCAACTCAACCTGAAGAGCTTCCTGAGGAAACTGACCCTTCTCCAAGCCAGCAGGAGAGCTCAGCTCAGCATCCAAAGCCCGCTGAGTGAGTTGGACCTTCCCCAGTCCAGCATCAGCACCCAATTCAGCCTCCAGGGGCCTCTACAGATGGTGCAACTCAACCTTCAATACATAATAAAGTGACATTCTCACCTCTAGGTCCAGGTGAAGTTGAACATCCACTGTTGCCTAATACCACAGTTAAACCCATGGATCTCGCAGTTGTCTTAACTCTAGAGCCCAGTAAGAGGTTGAACATCCTCCAGTGCAGCAGGAGGACCCTACTCAGACTCCAGATCCCCCTGGAGGGATAGAGCTTTCTTTAATCCAGGACGAGGCCCCCGCTCAGTCTCCGGTTCCCCAGGGGAGCTCAGCTATATGTCCGTAGCCCCCGAAGGAGGTGGTACCTTCTCCCACAGAGCAGGAGCTTCAGGCTCAGTCACCAGAACTCCCTGCAAAGGTGGAACCATTTCCAGTCCCTCAAGGGACCCTTCCTCACCTTCTACAGCCCCCTGAGAACATGGAATCTTCTCCAGTCCAACAGGAGTTCCCAGGCCTACCTCTGGAACCCCGTAAAGCGACAGAACCTGCTCCAGCTGAGCAGGAGGCCCCATCTCAGCCTCTAGCACCACCTAAGGAGGTTGTAGCACAAACTCCAGTGCATTATGAGATGACAGTTCCAACACTAGGACAGGATCAAGCTCACCATTCAAACTTGCCCAGAGTCACATTTAAACCTTTGGACCAGGGGCTTCCCACAGCTCCAGAACCTACAACGGAGGCTGAATATTCTGCAGCCCTGCAGCAGACTACAGTTCCTGCAACATAGCCCGAGGTGACATTTCCAAATGCAGAGCAAGTTCAGGCTCAGCATCCAACCTTGACTGAGGTCACAATTCAACCTTTGGACCTTGAACTGACCATAAGGCAACAACCCAGTAAGGAGGATGAACCTTCTCCAACCATGCAGGATAACTTAACACAGCCTCCAGAACCACCTAAGGAGGTTTTTGTAGCTCAGCTTCCAGTATATCAGAACCCAATCGTTCCAACACCAGATCAGGATCACACTGAGCGTCCAGCATCACCCAGTGTCACAGTTCAACCTTTAGACCAGGGGCTTACCACAACTCCAGAACCTACTATGGAGGTGAACATTCCATACCCCTGCAGGAGACTATAGTTCCTCCAACATACCACAAGGTGGCACTTCCAAATCCAGAGCAAGTTCAGGCTCAGCATGCAACCTTGACTGAAGTCACAGTTTAACCTTTGGACCTGGAAATTACGTTAACTCTGGAATCCAGTATGGAGGTTGAACCTTCTCCAACCGTGCAGCAGACCCAAGCTCAGCCTCCAGAGCTCATTAAGGAAGTTGTAGCTCAGTCTCCATTGTATCCCGAGGTGCCAGTTCCAGCCCCAGATCAGGATCATGCTGAGCATCCAATATCACCCAGTATCACAGTTAAACCTTTGGACCTGGAGCTTAGCACAACTCCAGCACCTACTACGGAGTCTGAACATTCTGCAGCCCAGCAGCAGACTACAGCTCCCCCTCCAAAACACCCTGAGATGACACTTGCACAGCCAAACCTGACTCAATTACAATTCAACCTATGGATGTGCAACTTACCATTACTGCAGGATGCAATATGGAGACTGTATCTTCTCCAATCATGCAGGACACCCCAACACAGCCTCCAGAGGGACCTCAGGACGTTGTATTTCAATCTCCATTCCAGCAGGAGGTGACAGTTCCAAATCCAAGTAAGGATCAAGGTCAGCATTCAGCATCATCCAGCGTCACAGTTCATTATGTGGACCTAGAGCAAACCACCACTCCAGAATCCACTATGGAGGCTGGACATTCTAGATCCCTACAGCAGACTATAGCTCCCCCTCCGAAACACCCTGAGGTGACACTTGCACAACCAAACCTGACTCAAGTCACAGTTCCACCTGTGGACCTGTGAGTTAACATATCTCAGCAACCAATGCCATCTGAGACAGTTCTTTTTCCTTCGACTCAGTATTCAGTATCCACAGGTCTTCCTGGTGTAAAATATACCCCAGAAAAGAAGCAGCCGGAACAGAATGCCACCATAAACTTCAGCATATGTGAGCTCTGTACCTGCAAAAATGAGATGCTGTCATGTAATGGTCTCAGCCCAAAGCAGAAGCTCCACAGAGTGCCTGAGCCAGAGCCTAACGCCTACAACGGCACCTTCACCATCAGGTAAGGATCGCCTCTCCTCATTTTTTCTCTGCATCGTGCCTGACATGGCAGCCTTTCTTCAGGCCTTCCTGGGTCCTCCTTTTCTCCCCAATCCACATTGACTGAGTTTGTGTTTCCACCTTTTGTTTGTCAATGATTCCTTAAGTAGAGATTCTGGAGCCAGACTACCTGGGTTTGAGCCCAGATCTGTCATTTATTAGCTTTATGACTCAATTTCCTCATCTGTAAAATGGGGATTATGGTAGTCATCATCTCATAGGATGACTCCTATGAGTCCTCAATCTCCCAATGACTCCAATCTCATTGGGAGATTTAGATGAGTTAATATAGGTAAAGCTCTTCTATCAGTGCCTAGCATATATTTAGTGTTAGCTGTTATTATTATTGAATCCCTCTGTTATATCTAGAACTCAAGTTTGTCCCCTGGCTTTCTATATGTAGCACCCATTTTGTGCCCAACCCAGGGCTAAGTACTTTAGGAGCCACAGAAGTATATGGCATTGTCTCCAGAACATGACAATGACAAG